CCATTCAGCCTATGCTTTGCAGAAATTTGTTAGCAAGTGTTTTAAAGTTTCCCCTGAGATTTCAAATTGATTTATGAAGATCCAAGCTGTCTCTAGTACTTTTTGTCACACTGACTGGGCTGCAAAAAGCAAGACGGCAAAGGATCATCAGCTAAGTGACTCGGTAGACTGTGCAAACACACATAAGATGGCTCAGAGGAAAAACTCCACCGAATTCAAAAGGTATCAGATTTACACCACTATAGGTCACACAAAGCTGGACTCACGCTTTGCCTATTATTTATCAGTTACCTTACTTGCTTTTATGCTTATTGGATACAGATGGTGTCCGCAGATAGACGCAGGCCTTTTAACATATACATCTGTTATATAATTGTCATAATAGCTTTGCCGCAACTCCTGGCTTATTTTAAATGTCCTGTTGTTTAGACCAACTCCTGAAAGGCCAATGGCTCAAGACACCAGGAAACAGTTCAGTTGTTAGAATCTGAAGGATTCAAACCCTAAGGTTTGCATTAACTTGGAGTCATATTTTTTTCCAGTAAGAAATGTGGATTAAAAAATCAGGATAGTTGTTTTTCAGTGCTAAAAATTGTTGGAGAGGAATAAAGAGGAATTCCCCTCAGGTTTGGATTCTATTAGGCTGCGGTTCCATTTGTTTCAGAGGGGAGACCTAGATGTGGAACTGAACTTCCTCAAAGTTAATTCCCAAAGCTGGGTATTGGATGTAGGTCACTCTCTGGCTTGTTCCGAGACTCAGCTGAGCTAGAAATACTGTTCAGTTTTCTCTAAAAAGTGGAAGCCACGCATATCCTTTCTGTTCTATCCAGGTCATTGCCTCTGAAAGCAGTGCCACAAGGTGTAATCGTAACATCAGTGCACATCTGCAACGCGTGAGCCAGGGAAAGCTGCCATTTCCAGGCTTTGCTTTTAAGGAGAGAATTCTCTGAACAAGTCTTTCCCCATACAAATTCCTGTATTAAGCATGCAAAATAGGCACTGCAGGACATAGGTGTTGGGGAAAGTGTCCTTCTATATATGACCTGAAGACATATTTTGGACAACCTGTTTTCCCCTCAGCAGCCAATATTTTTTTTCCATGTACTGTTCAATCACCGTCAAAGAACATCACTAGATTTCTGCTGCTGGTGTTGCCATCACATAGGCATCAACCTTCGTGGCCCAAGGCTCACATGTGCCATGTCAGTAAGCTGCAAAATGTTAAGGAGACTTCCTCTGCAAAAAAAGGCTGGTTAATAGGGCTAAATGCATATAGCTTTGCTGACCCTGAGGGGGTCTTCCGTGTCTGACAGAGGAGGTGCCTAGAGCAGAAGCCTACAGAAATAGTCCGTGAATATTTCTGTGTAACAGCGGCATCCAGTGGGCCAAGAAAGATTCCTAGTAATATATTTGGAAAACCAGGATAAGGCCATGTAAGAGCAGAGGTTTCCCTCCCATACCCAGAGCTAGGCAACTCCAGCCCGTTGCAGTAAGCATTACAATGTCCTCACTGAGCAAGAGACTGAGATGAACTCCAGTTTACTAGATGCCAGAGGATGCATGTTGTAGAAATGTAGGCTCAAAGAATCATAGCAACACAGGATCAGAAAAGGTCTCAAGAGGCCCTCCAAACCATGCCCTGTACTAAACAGTATCAGTTCTACCCTGCCATTTCAGCAGTGTTTGCCTAACCAGTTCCTAATGCCTGTTCAGGCAGAGATTTCATAGCCCCTCGCTAGTCTTCTGCAGTATTTCATTAGCCTTAGAAAGTTTTCCCTAACATCCAACCTGAGTTTTCATTGCTGCATTTTGCCCCACTACTTTTTGGCCTACCCCGTAAGCACCCAAAACAGGTTATTTCCTTCTTCTCAGTGTCAGCCTTGTGCATGAGGACATTTATCTTGTTCTCTCAGGTCCTTCCTTCTCTTAGATACAGCACTCCCTATGTCTGTCTTGCAGTTGTAAACCTCAAAAGGAAAACTCTTTATGTCCTGCAGACTGCCTCTGGGTTATGCACGCCAGGTTGGCTCATTTCTTTTCACAAATGTTGCCCCACTAGAAAAGATTCATTGGAGCTCACGCTTTTTTACACACCAGAGAGGTTTGCCATTTGCACTATCTTTGGTGTTACGCACAACCAAAATACCACCTCTCCGAAGTGGTTATATACAAACAAAGGCAAAATCTCATCAAAATAATCACAGTAAAGTTTTTGTCTTGGCTATGGACTAAGCTGCTGATGCTGTATGACTTCATGTTTGCCTGAGAAGGTGACTTCACAGACAGTCTAACACAGGTTTCCAATTTTGTTTTTTTGAAAAGAAAGATTAGCTGGAAAAAAAAGCCTGACATGACTTAGAGTCTGGGCATGCAAGTTCACATGTTTACAAGCAGCACTGGCAAAAGTAAAGCCTAAGTTATCTTGGTGTTTATCGAGTGAGCACAAAAGAAGCTTCTCTAAATGTGAATGGATCTTCTCAGACAATCGGTGTTGGCTGTACTCACCGGTCTCTAATGTGCTTCTATGTTTATACTAACATATAAATCTGCCTGGTAAAAAGCAAGCTGAGGGAGGGAGCATCAGTGGATGCTTAGATCCGCTTACCCCATTCCCAAATACTTAACAGTACTCATTCTCCATCTTCTGGCCAAAGGGTAAAATGCACTGCAGTTCTGCTCAGAACCAAGTCAGGTTCAATTCACTCATTTTCACATTCACATTTTCACAATCACCCCAGCGTGTGTGTTTAAGTGGTCTGGCCAACATCGCTTTTATGCAACACAGAGGGCAAGGGACACTGAGTCCTATTTGGCTTTTATCAAATGGCAATGACAAGCTTGGTTTTGGACAGGTCCTTTGTACCCTGTAGGCATAAAAGTTAGGGTAACTGCCACTATGCTGTGACACTCCGTCTCAGAATTTTGCTCTCTTCAGTCTTCGTAAGCCCGAGGCAACTCTGCTGCCTGGTGTCTTTGTTTCCTCCTTTTGAGTTTTAGGGCTCTAGATAGCATTCCTGATGGGCTAGCGGGAAAAGGAATGGCACGTGATTTTTTTATGACCTTGCTGCCATATTCCTGTTGTGAGTGCAGGGTCTCACGCTGGCAAGTTCTGTGCTGTGGTCTTATCACATTGCAGGCCTTCTGTAATATGCAAACATATTACTCAATTTTACTGCTGTGAACACTGTTCTTCACTATCAATGCAGGCCACTCTTTTAACCTTTGTTCTGCTATGCCAGTTTACATTAGCGAAGACTAAATGTAAAACAAAATTCCAATTCGCTAGCTTCAACAGAGCCATGCTTGATGTGCCACCGAGCAACAGAACGGGACAGGCAAGCTTAAACAGAGTGTTGGCGAGGTGTCTCTGACCTCAGCAGGGGTAAAGTCAGCAGAGCGTGTCCTACCCCAGACACGAGAGATCCACATGAACAGCGTCATCGGTATCACCAGCAGAGACGATACAAACTTGTAAGTTGCCTCTGCCTCTTTGAAGAGAAAGTCATTGTAAAAGTAGTAATACCTTATGCTTTTAGATTCACGCATTCTGATTCACGCACGGTGGCACTTTGAGCCACCAACGATCCCATGCAGGCAATGTCCGAGCTGTGATCTTGCGAAAGACACATCCCCGGCAGAAGGCTGTCCGGCTGACAGGGCCCTCCTGGCTACCTGCCGAACGAGGACGCACGGCGCCTTGCAAGGAGTTACACCGAATCCCCAAATCTCCCTGGCAGTGGACAAAGTTATCCTAAAACCACCCCAAAAATGGGACGCTCAAGCGTTTAAAAAAGAGCGTCCTGGCGAGGATCCCGCATCCTTTCACGGCCAGCCATTCCCGCCGGTTTCAATGGCCATTTTGCCTGCGCAGAGAAAACGGGAAACGATCCCAAATATTTATTATCCTCGACGCCACAAAGGCGTCAGAAACACCGAGCGCAGAC